TGGCAGTCCTGAAACGCCGTCTAAGCTGTTCGCCAATCACAACACACTGGGACAGCTAACCAATCACAACACATTTTGTTTTTCAGAAGGCGGACCTTCATCAAAGCCGGAACTAATGGAGCCGTTTGTGCCAGCCTGGGGAGAAAGGTATTGTAATAATGTAAATTATGTGAAAAATAATGCGTTTTTCGAACCACCAAGCATGAGAGCATGTTCTAGTACACCCCCAAAACAAAATCAAGACTTTAAAAGAGCATAATAGGACCCCTTTAAGGTTTCACATAAGTTTTTGGAGAATAAAATGTCAACATTTGGTTGAAATAATGTTACATTATCATTCAGTGTAACACAATATTTATGTAAAAATTCAAACAACATGCTTATTCTGACTTGTGCATATTAAAATATATAAAAGAATAAGGGAGCATATTAAATTTGATTGTGTTTTAAATGAGTAAAAAATTCTTACTGACAAATGGGCAAAACCTAGGATAGTGGCAAATTAAAAAAAAATTAAAATTACAACTAATTAGTATTTGGGGTGAAAGTAATTAGTCTTTTAATATGTCATAAATTGATTTTTGTTGTAAATATGCCTGGCAAGTTTGTTACACTGAATGGCATTTTAGTGGGTGTCTTCTGTAAATCAGGGGAAAATGTATGATATTTATTTTTTGCTCAGAAAAACTAAAACAAAATTGCAATTAAATTAAACAGAAAACTTAACAACAATTTAAAGCAGTATTACACTTATCGTTTTTTTAGGCTTAAACCCTTTTTTCGTCTTTGACCCATGTACAACTTAAACTTTCTTTAAAACTTTATTTCAACTAGTTGCCAAACAGACACATCCAAAAATAAAATAAAAATGACAAAAACACACAACTAAATTACTATTATAAAATCTGTAATAATCGATACTCAAGATAATTGCACATAATGTTTCACTGTACACAGCCTACAAAGATAATTCACTGTTTTGTGTTCATTGTTAATTAATTTTACAACTAACAAATTAGATTTCTTTCCATCTGATTCATTGATTAATCGATTATCAAAATAATCACTAGTTGAGCCCTAGTTAGTAAAGATACATTTTGTATTATGATAAAGGCTTTAGCCAAATATTAGTTATTAAAGAAGTTATTTAATCATTTTAAATCAGAGTCAATTTTATTTTTATACATTCAAAGTTAATTGAAGGCTAGCATACTGTTGTGTTAAAGTCTATTGATCTCGTGATCTATATTAAACACTTCTTGAAGGTCAGTGCCATAACCAGATCTTTATTCCTGGACAAATTATTTTTAAAAATTTCACTTTTCACAATTTTAAGCAATCAAATGCTTTCAACTGCAGAATCACACATACTGTATATATATAGACTTGCAGCTCTGAACCCATGACCAGGAACTTCACCTGCTAGTCAATACTGGACACTCCAGAAGATGTTTCACCTAATAAATGTCCACTTTCCCTTACTTTAACTTATTAATATCAATATTTATAATAAGTAGAACTTTTGTGTAAATTATGAGTTTTGTGTAACTTCACAAGAAAGTGATACAGGAAGCACCTGAGGACAAAACGCGGTTCTAAACCCATACTGATAGAGAGCAGGTGCAAAACCTACAATTGCTGCAGCTGATCAATAATCAATACAGGCCTGATTGAAACCCATTTATAATGCAACGCAATTCTATAACGTCCAATGGGCGTTTCGAAGACAGAACGTTCACAATAAACTACGAAAATTGCAACCTAAAAGAAAAGAACTTGACAGTCTCGCACTCTACGGCTCTGATCACATTATTACTGATGGTGCATCGATTATGATATAGATGATCAATGACGGGTTTGGCCAAACTTGGGAACTAAAAAAGACGAAACATGACCGTACCTTTCTGCTCGGGACGTCGGAAAGCGTATAGTTTAACTGCAGTCACATTAAACTCCTCGGTGGTGTCGATCTGATTTATAAAGTCAAATATGTTCTGGGTTTGATGCGGTTTCTCGCGCTTCCTCAAACACAATACCGGCGTGACGTCACAGCATGACTGACAGCTCCAGCAGCCAATGAAAGCGAGGGACGTCCCACCGCAGGTGCTCTTCACTTTTCACGATCACTGATCTAGAGCAATAGTTTTGTTTTTTTTTGTATACACGACCTTCTTTTGAATTGAGCACAGCTAAGGTGAAAAAATACGGACTTTTACATTAACCGTTCCCAACTCAATCCTATCCAGCCATCTTCAAGAAACGGCTAAAAACTTGACCTTCTAACTCTAGCAATCTCAAATCTAAAAAAAATAAATAAATAAAAATAAAAAACTCGACCCTCTAACACTTGCACTCTCTATTCTATTTCTATTCTTACTATTCTTTTCTTTTTTTAAAAGGAGAGCCTCTAACACTAATATTATGTCTATATAGGTTTTTTTATTATTAAGTTTTATTTAATTTGAGTTATTTCAGTACTTCAACATACAAAATGGAAATGAAATAATACATATATATTGGATGTATTTATATATATGTATATGTGTGTGGCTGTACATACACATATGTAGTTGTTTTTTGGTGTTTGGCTTAGTGTTATGTTTGAATCATTATTATACTTTATTTATTTTGTTTTCATTTAAATGTTTAGTTTTGAAATGTTGTTGTATGCATTTGTCATTGAATTGATTTTATTTTCTTAAATGTGTATATATATATAGTATTTATAGAGTTTTAGCTTTTAGTTTTAATTACTTTTGCTTATTTGTAAGTCGCTTTGGATAAAAGCATCTGCTAAATGACTAAAAGTAAAAGTAAAGTAAAAGTAATATTCTCTATTCTTTTTCTATTCTTGTTTTCTTTTTATTTATAATATAAATGACCCTCTAACACTAGCATTCTCTATTATTTTGACTTATTTGATTTTTTATTATTAAAAAAAGACCCTCTAACACTAGCGTTCCCACATTCTTTTCTCTCTTCTTGTTTTTTAAATGTAGACTGTACTGCGTTAGAATAAACGAAACTTGTCACAGCACTTAGGCTACATATTATTGCCCTTTTGCTGGTTTTGATTGCTTCTATTATTGTCCTCATTAAGTCGCATGGGATACAATCGTCTGCTAAATGTCTAAATGTAAATGTAATACATCCGGTTGAGAACGATCTTGAATTAGAATAGTATTCTTTTTTTCTCTTCCAAAGTAAAATTTCAATATCATATTTTTACCAGCTGCTGAATAAACAATAAAACCACACTGACATCTTAAAGGTTCGTGTCTATACAGAATTTTAGAAATAAATAAACAAACAAATAAATCTAGCACCTGAGTAACAAATGTGACAACTAGCCCCGCATTTGACTATGTCTGAATGCGGTTTGGTGAAGGAAGGTTGCTACTCAAACATGTAACTCTATTATAACATATAACTAGCGGCTTCCCCTTTTTAAAGGAATAGCTCACCCAAAGATAAAACTTTTCTGAAAATGGACTCACCTTCAGGCTGTCTAAGATGTACATGGGTTTGTTTAACATCTTGTGAAGTGAAAAGCTGCACGTTTGTAAGAAACAAATCCATCATTAAGACTTTTTAACTTCAAACAGTTGCTTCAAACAGTTGGCTAAAGTATAAATCCATAATCCATGATATTGCTTTCTCTAGTGAAAAAGTAATCTCAATCAGGAGAGAAATATGCACAGATCAAGCACCTTTTACTAGTGGAAACAGTTCAAAACTTTTTCACCGGGATGGATTTTTTCACTGGAGGAAGCGCTATAATGGATTATGAACACGTATTTTGGCCAGAAACACATTAATGATGGATTTTTTTTCTTACAAACACTCAGCTTTTGTCACAAGATGTTGACTGATGGACTGGAGTGGTGTGGATTACTTGTGGATTATTGTGATGTTTTTATCAGCTGTTTGGACTCTCATTCTGACGGCACCCATTCACTGCAGAGCATCCATTGCTGAGCAAGTGATGCAATGCTACATTTCTCCAAATCTGATGAAGAAACAAACTCATCTACATCTTGGATGGCCTGAGGGAGAGTATATTTATAGACCATTTTCTGACAAACTATTCCTTTAAGGACTAGGCCAGAACTTACATAAAGTGATGCTATGATAAGATATGATAAAATATCTTATGACATGAAAATGAGAAAAGCTTAATGGTCATATTAGGAGTTTGTCTGGTCTGCTCTGGTTGATGAGAACTAATCACTCAGACATGCGCTGGACTCAAGGGGTTCCCAGTTTAGCAGGCAGCTGCTGTGTACTAGTTCACCGCTCAACCTCCACAATATCACATGTAAACAATCTGCTTCTATATATATATATATATATATATATATATATATATATATATATATATGACTTATG